ACAAAACACCAAAAGAGGCTTAGGAGCCAGCCTGGAAGAGGCCAAACCTAAGAAGTGACCTCATTTTCTGCTTACCTCACAGCCTCAGGAGAAGCAGATAGCCCCCCTTAATCTCTTGCTAACAAGTCTGTCTCTGACAGGCTGGCAGTCCCTGGTGCTGGCTTAAAGCTTCTGGAAGGGGCCAAGTAGCAGGTAGTCAAATAGCTTTTGCCCTGAGTTACAGGGCCTGGTGACATTACAGAGAAGCCAGTGCTGTGCCTCTAGAGAGTCAGACATTGTAGAATGTCCTCAGGAGGGTCCAGGAAGCAAGCCACTAGCCTTCTTAGTATAATCAACATCTACCAGCATTAGTTTTCACGAATACTTTAAGTATCTCCCTGAACCAAAATTCTTCATTTCTCTAACATTCTTCAGGTATTCTTTGTAGTTGGGCTTGTGACAAAATGGAAGTATTTGTTCCCCTGGGGGTGAAGAAACCATAGCTTAAGCACTATAAGCACCAACCCCACAGCTACCTGTAATTCTAGATCATGACTATCGGCCCACAGACTAAACATATGTTATTTACACTAGCTTACTTTTTTACATCCCTAATGAACTAGGCAAGGCTGTAATCTCGGCGTTTCAGAGACAGAGGCAGGAGGATTGTTGCCTGGTCTATGTAAGGAATCCCACCAGGGAAACAAAGCAAGATCCTGTCTTAAATAATGATGAGAATAACAACAACAACAAATCCCATTGAATTGTTCAGGTAAGAGAGCTGGGAAGCCATTTGTACATGTTTATTCCTCCAATACCTTCCTCCTGTTCCTCTCCCATAAGAATTAGTACCTGCATGACTGATCACCTGATATTAAAGCCAAGTGGCTGTGAGGAATCTAAACCATGGATACAGTGATGTCTGTCAGCACCAGGAGATCAGTCATGGAAGTTCCATGGGCAAGAATCTACCGGCACTTCCTATTTGGGTGGTTCTCATCATTTTAGTAAAGTGCTACCTTAGGGCACACCCCTCCATTCTCCTGCATAGTTGTAGTAGCAGGGTACCATTCTCTATCCCCTCCTTTGGGTCTCAGTCACTCTGCCTGTAACTGGGGAGAATGGATTACTGTCCTCTGCTTCCTGACTGTGGATGCAAATGTGACCGGCTGCCTCATGCTCCTGCTCTCCTGTCTTCCTGGCTATAATGTATTGTGTGTTCAAAACAAGAGCTTAAATGCACTCAGCCTTCCATTACATAAATAAATAATTGCAAACAATAACACTCTTTGAAGACACTTAACATGTACAGAGCATTGGGACTGGAGAGATGGCTCAGCAGTTTAAGAGTGGTAGCTGCTCTTCTATACATCAGACTTCTCACTGTTCCTGTAACTCCAGCTCCAGTGTGATCTGAAGACTCTAACCTCCTCAGGCATATACCCACACACAGACACACTCACATAATAAAAGAATAAACAAAATCTTTAAAGTTTTCTTGTGGAGCTTTATGTCCACAGCCTTTGAGTCTTCTACCAAGTTATAAAACCTTTTAATTCAACTCAGAGTGATGCTTTATGATAGACCTAAGAGGCTTCCCCACTGTAGAAGCTACTTCACTCTCTCTGCCCATCCTGACAACAGGAGTCCAGTCCTTCATCTACAGTGAACAGGGAAAGATGCCATGCTAGCCAGGAGTTGCCCTCTTCTAAGAAGAGTGAAGTCTCTGTCTAGCCTACCCCTCCCCTCTCCCCAGAAACAGCATCCCAGTGTGTTCAAGCAGACTTTGCAGTCTATGCTCAGCACCTCTGGGCAGCCTGTGAGGCAAGTCCTTTCCCTGGAGAGTAGCCATTCTGGAGTGGTATCGGAACACATTCCAACAACACATGTTTATCTCTAAGGTCAGCCCTTCCTGTTGATGGTGCAGAGGCATATAAGGGGGGAGGGGGCTAATGGTCTCTGCAGCCACAGGAGGTGAGGAATGAGGGCAACAGGAACATAGCTCCACCCTTTGGGAGGATGCTATTATGCTGAAGTTTCTAGAACATGTGTAGCCATGTATCTTCCAGTTCTTCTGTCGCCAGTGGAAATGAAAATGTGGGCACCACCTCTTCTATAGCTAAGCTAGGACTTGGCGGGTGGGAATCTTTCAGGTGAAGCCTCAGGTTTTGAAGCCAGGATAATGGCAGCATTTCCATTGTTTAGTGCAGGATGAGCTCTGTTGGGACACAGCTGGCTCTACCTCTCCCTTTAAGCTCATCTAAAGGTGCCAGGACCTCCAGGCTCTGGCAGTGGGACAAAGAGACCTACCTTCCCTTGCTAGGCTGGGTGCAAATTCCAAGTGATTGACACTTTTGGATCCAGTTTCAGGAGGTGCAACCCCACCTCCAGCAAAACTACAGACCGCATAGCCCCACTAGCTGGGAGCAAATGCTCACATGCCTTCTGAGGGTTCCATTTCAGCTTCAGATGTCTTTAGGAAGGATGTCTATAGCCAGTTTCAAGACCTCTGATTCCTTTGTTATTTACTTTCAATTGAGATAGCCACGTTCTCTCTCTCTAGGCTGAGTTTTAGGAGGTGGGAGGGTGTAGGCTGAACCATCTGATACCTCTTCAGCAAAACTGAATCCTGTTCCCCAGCACCCATCCTCAGGCCAGGGATATTTACCCATGTTTATATAACCATGGCAACAGGCTTTAGTCTCTATCATTTAGACCCTTAAAAAAAGAAGAAATAGACAGGCAGTTCATGTCCCAGCTATTGCTTCCTGCTCTGCCCCCAAAAGAGCTACTTTCTCAGAAACCATGGAAGAAGAAGGGATAGAGAGAGAAATAGAAGGAGAGAGGGGCACTACACACTCTTGAGGAACACTAACCTCAGGCTCCCAATGGCCCAGCATCATGGAGGACTTCAGAGTTTGGTTGTACTTGTGTTCCAAAGTCCCCAGGAGCCATATAGCAACACATGTATCTCTGACTCATCTGGAAGGCCTCTTGTGATCTCTGTACAGAGTATGGTTATCAGTTATCTTCTTGCCATCCCCTCCATCTTCAAAGTGGATGGATTGTATGCAAACCTTGCTAACAGTGTATTCTTCATCTGCACATTCTTATGTCTCAACTATTTCACAGGTGGTCATCAGCAGGGAGTTTGTAGGGCTGGGAGACAGCTCAGGGGTTAAAAGCATTTGCTGCTCTTCCTGAGGACCAAAGCTCTATTTCTAGCACTCACAAGGGAGGGATCACAGTCACCTGTAAACACCAGCTTGGGGGGGGGCTCTGTGCCTTCTTTTGGGCTTCTGGGGATACCTAAACATATATGACACACACATAAACAAAAGGAAGAGTGTTTTGTATGGAGTATGGCATGTTAGACTCACATAGGTTTAAATGATCAGCAGGAGAAACTGGGACCCAGTAAAAGGAAAGCATGTATTATCAATAGTGTAGCCCCAACAGTGCTGGGTCCTTGTCAAGAGATCAGACTGCTTTTCTTGGCATTTCAGCCACAGCCAGTATCCCAGATTCCACAGGAGGTTGGTTTCAGGGATGGAGAAAACCACAGATCTGCAAATGTTTACGGAGCTTCTTACGACAGGCTGCTGTTCTATAGGCTGGAGGTCTAAGCTTGCAAAAGGAGACACTTGGGGTGGGGAACCCCAATCCACTCCCCAGGGGGTTAGCAGTGAGGAGAAGAGGCACATCAGCACGCTCCTTTCTGACCCACGGGGCAGACTCGTGGCCCATCAAGACAGCAATGGGAATTCCATTTTAGATCCCCTTGGCACTGGAAACTGTTGAACAGATTTCCAGCACTGTTTCGCCTAATTTTCTGAATGACACATCACTCTGAAGAGGAGTGGGAAGGGAGGCGGGTAGTGCAGTCACAGTCACCTGGTTCTGCAACTACCCCCTCAACCTTATGGAGTGCCTGCATTCTCCCTTGGTGCCTTCTCTTGCGTCTTTTTGGTTCCGTCCAATGCAGACCACCAAAATCTTGCCAGGAGCAAACTTTCCCCTATTAATTATCTTGAAACAACGCATAGCTAATTGTCCTAATTACTCTTGGGCTCTGCCACACCACCCCTGGCTTTTGCTCACCAAGGGCAACTCAAGTTGGGCAAGCAGCCCGGAGGCCTGCTTAGGGAGTGCTGAGTTGGTTTAGCCCACAGAAGATCCAGTAGGAGTTGGTGCATCTTGGGAAGATGCCTGTCGACTAAAATCAGAGCGTTTTCAAGTTCTCACCTCTCCAAGTTCAAGAAGGCCAGAGCTAGGTAGTTCTGGGGAGGGGAAGGCCTGCTTTTCCAATCTCTACCTCCTCTATTGAAAGCAGGACCCATCGTCCATTTTTTAATCTTTTCATTAAATCTCGCTCTCTGAAATGGCTATGCTTATATTTATTTGTTTCATATTCCTTCTCTCCCCTACAATAAAAGTTCTGGGAGGCTGAGACTTTGTCTTTCTTACTCAGTACCTCCAGGTTTACCAACTTGCGGGGGACACAGCAGACCCCACATGAGCTGACACCTAGCCAAAGCTCCTTCCTTCCTCTATCGAAGAGTGAGCCAGAAGGAGGTGAAGTGGAACAGGGCTGCGCTTCCAGGATCCTCTTTAGAAAGGGCTTCTGAGGGACTTCAGAGGAGAAGCTGCCAGGAGCTGTTTCTTCTCTGAACAGTTCAGTTAAGATTAAACTGTGACCCTTTTGCCTGAGCCTGATGGCGAATCCTCGCCCCTAAAACTGCGTTCTTCTTTTGTAATAGATCATGCCTTCACTGTGGAGCGTTGGCAGTCTGAGGTTCCCCTGCTCCACAGAGCCCAGAGTTCAACCTCCACAGGTCCCCTAGTAGTTGCTGCTGGCCCCTGAAAGGCCCGCGACAGACCTAGCTAGGTCGCCCAGCCCGCGTCCTTCGGGCCACTCTTCTCATTGGCCGAAGACACCCCTTCTGAGTTCTCATTGGCTGCTGCACTTTTCCTCCGCCCCCCACCCCGGGCCGCGGGTGGCAGCGGCGAGGGACGCTGCACTAAGTCCCCACGCTGAATCCGAAGCTGGGCTCTTGCGGCCAGGAGCGAGGAGCGCACTGAGAACTCTACTTTCTCGAGAGCCCGAGCCCATCAAATGGGCGAATGAGGAAGGAGAGCAGGGACATGGACTGCTATCTGCGTCGCCTCAAACAGGAGCTGGTAAGAGCAGAGCAGGAGCCGGGGGACAGGGAGGGCTGCTCCACCCAGACCTAGGTACCTGGCCTGGGTCCCGAGCTCCGTGCACCAGAGAGGCGCGGAGACGAGAGCAAAGAAGATGCCAGCTGGTAGGTAGAGGCTATAGGGCCGTCGCTTAGAGGCAAGAAACTTTGGCAAAGATTCTGATGAGATATGAACAAGTAACAGGGAGTCAGAACAGCCAGCCAGGCTGAAATGTGACAGAACAACCGAAGAAGAAAAGAGGAGCACACCCAGAGAGGGCAGGCACACACATGGAGTAAGGTTCGAGTGCCCGGAGTCGCAGGAGTGACAGGCAAGCAGCGGGCTGGTGTTCAGGTGCTGGACTTGCAGCGTGCGGACAGATCCCTGTCCTGGGCAAGAGGTCAGGCTGAACTACTGCTCTCTCGTGGGGAGCTGGCACCGCCCGGGGCCCCCAGCTCTGCTGGGCTTGGCAGAGCTGGCGCGGCTGCGGGGGCAGGCTTGGCCGGCTGTCTGCCTGGGCTTGTCTGCCAGCAGGGAGGGGGGTAGCAGCTGTAATGACGGGGGAGGAGGGGTGCCGCCTGGCAGATCGCGAGCGGGAGTTGTGGAGGCCCAGCCAGATGTCAGGTCTGGGCTTGGGGAGTGTGTTGGGAGTGTGTGGGCCCCGAGGTGCTGAGGGTGAGTATGCTACCCTGGGGAGTGGGAGTGAATCACCGAAGAGGGAGAAATGACTGCTAAGGCTGTCATGCACGCCCCCACCCTCCCCTCTAGTGTTCCTTTACCGTCGGGGTTCGTGCAGACAGGTAGGCATATACATGCCTCTTTCCTCAGCTCTGCCCCTCGCTCCATCTAGACTCTCTTAGCTTCCTCCTCCACTCCACCTCTCAATGTTTCTCATTTATCTCCCATGGCAGTGGGCTCTCCTGTCTCATTTTGCTACCTTCTTCTTTCTTCTTTTCAGAGCCAGGTCACCAGGCATCCAGCAGCAGACCTGGATCCAGAGAGTGCCCCGTTCAGGCCCCTTAAGATCCCAGGATAGCCTTTCCACTCCTGTCTGTAGAGATGCCACTCTGCCTGCTTGGCAATGTGTTAGGGGCAGGCTTTGCTGGTAGCCGGGTGGGGGAAGGGGGTGGCGTAGCAGGTGTTCTTAGTGATGCTCCCTGACCACGATGCCCTGGCACTGTCCGTCTGTCCCAGTCCATGGGTCTGACTGTTCGTTCATGCCTTTAGTTCTTCCTCCTGAACCCTATCTGTGATGGCACTCGATGTGAAAGTTACTGCCTCCACAGAAACACTTCTTCTGTAGGAGCCAAGGTGTTCATTGATGCTCTTCTGAACCTATACTTTATAAGCTTTTGTATGCAGGCCATGCTAGTTCAGGGTAGTGGCCCTGGCCCATAAATATCCCATGCACAGGTTCCCACTTCATGTGGCCAGTACCAGAAAGGAAGACCAAAATCATTGCAGACAATGGCTGAGGATCAAAGCCCATGTTGAGAAAAGAATCTAATAGGATCCTCTTTGTGCCTGGAACCTGGGACCACGCCACCTACATCTATAGAGCATTTGTGGGTGTTCCTGGCATGGGAATGAATTTTCTAAATCTTACTGATTTGCATTTTTTACATCACTCTAGGTGGGAGGTGGTGAGGGGAGGGAGACAGTCTGTGGATGTCAAGAGAATTTAAAAAAGAGAGAACTAAAGAAAGAATGAAGGAGAAATCTGTACTGAGCTGAGCTCCCAAATTTTGATCTGCAAACCCTCCGCCCAGGCCTTGAGCCCCTGTGCTGGGAGAAGGGAAGAGAAAGGCCGAAGGCATCCTTCTCCCCATCAGCTTTCATTTGGCCTTTTGTCTGAGCATCTCCAGCCTTTGACTGTCTTGGAGAGCAAGCCAACTGCCTGGCCCAGGGCCCAGAATGACACTCAGATGGGGGAGTTCTTCACCCCCATGGTACTCTGCTCCCTCCCCAGGGCCAGCTTGCTGAAGAAGAGTCCTAGGCAGTGATAGGCAGAGCTATTGAGCCTCATTCGCTCCTGGATACCTCGCCTCTGTGTTTAAGTAGCAAGGCGGAATCTCCGTGCCTGGGTACTGAGAAATTGGAGGAAAGAGGAAAGCAAAGTGCCGTTAGCCTGGGTCCATCCAGAGCTGCCTTCTCCAGGGGATTGAATTCCATGGCTATGGCAGAGATAGGGAACTTCTTTATACCCTAGGGCAGTGGTGAAGTAAGCATTGCACAGAGGCAGTTTATGCTGTGAATGGACGGCTTTTGCCCTGCAGTTGGTTCACTCCAGCCAGCATCTCCTGTGCCATCCAAAAGCACCATATATTTCCAGGTTCTTGCCCAGGAATGTAATTCTGGTTCTTGCCTCATGTAATTCTGATTAAGATCTACATTTGCTTATTTCATGAAATTCCCTTCAAGAACACCCCGTAGATACAGTGGGATAAGCCTGATGCAGAAGGCAGAGTGTTCTGTGTTCCCCATTTTTATCCAGTTCCTACCTTGGCACCGAAATTTGGCCAAGAAAAGTTGTTCCTGAGATACAGCATAGCCAAAGCCTCAAGTTTCCTGAAGCTAAAAACTTGCATTATAAAAATTCAGGAGGCTGAGAGTTCAGAGACCCGAGCACAATTAAGTAGATAGCTAGAGTACTGGCCCTTTCTCCCTGCCTGGACGGGCAGGAGAGTCGAGTTTCAGGAATGAAACCAGGCTGAAAAAGTAGCAGCAGCTGACACACTTCTTAATGGGGGGTGGGGGCTACATCGTCCAGCACCTCCCTTTCCCTCCAGCTGCTGAAGCAGGGCCTGCCTGAACACAGAGCTTGGGACCAGCTGTTCCTTACACACAGTTCCCTGTGGGGTTCCAACAAATGTATAGACACAGACACACAGGGGGAGCAGACACAGGATGCTCCCAGACTAAGTTCTTGTGAGTTCAGATTGATTCTGAACAAACAGAATGCATAAAAGTTGAGTGACCAGAGCTCCTGAGGTTCGGCTAGGCTGGGGAGGCTTCCTGGAAGAGGGGGATGCCATAGAAGGACATTATGAAATGCCAGTCCTAGTTGAGCCCTGGAGAAGGAACTGAGGTACTTCTCTTTTGCAGGCTGGGGAAAGTCCTTTTAGGGGACTTGTATTCCCAGAAGGCACTCCTTTAGTCACTGGTGGCTACAAGATCTGGATGCCGTAGCATGTGACTAAGGAATAGGGCCTAAAGACAAAATAAGGAAAAAGAAGGGCGTGGGAAAGTTACAATTGGAGCTTTCAAGTCTTGAGCAAACCAGCAAATTTCTTTAGAACAAAAATAATCTTCTGTAGAAACATCTCATTCTGTGTGTAAATCCCACCCCCTTTTTCTCCCCAGGGGAAGAAAGAGAGCTTCTGGGTCAGTTAGTCTGGGGTCAGCTGGGACACATGATTCGGGGGCAGGTCAAACTTGAAGCCAGACCTTGGCCCTGTCTGACTCTGACATGTTGGTTCCTTTTCCTATCTTTAGAATGAGTTGTTAAAAGTACCCACTTCATATAGCTACTGTGAAGATTAAATGACAGTATAAGTAAAATCTGGCCTTTAATTTGAGAGTCTCCTGCTCTAGGCCTTCAAGGACTAAGGTGTACGCCACTGGACCCAGCAGACAGGTTTGCTGAGTTCATACTGGTTTAAGGCACCAACAGGACACCAGCACTGTGGATACAAAGAAAAGCAGACCCAGATGTTGTCTTCAGGGAAGGTATAGTTATAGTTTAATAAAAAGTTGACATATATTGATAGACTTTAAAATGCCAGGGCTGGTGATGTGACTTAGTATAAAGCACTTGCATAGAACATGTGACACCCTGTGTCCACTCTTCAGTACTGAAAAAAAGTAACTAATCCATAACACTGTCCAACTGTTAAAGCAACCCAATAAGTGGTGTTTTTACTATTGCCTTCTCTCTCTCTCTCTCTTTCATTCTCTCTCTCTCTGTGCACACACATGCATGCGTGTGCACGCGCATGTGTGCACTGTGTTTTGAAACAGGATCTCACTACCTAGACTGACTGAAATTTCAGGTGTGAGCCACTATACTCAGCTTTATTCTCATTTCTAAACATGAAAATAGAGACTGGAGAAGGTTGGGTGCCTAGGCCAAGATCATAGAGATGATAAGCAGTGAGGGTTGGATCCAGACCTAGACAGATGACTGCAGAGCTGCTGTCATGGATGTACAAAGATATGCAGAGACAGGGAATATATGTTCTGTAAGGGCCATGGGTTCAGTGCTCTGAGAAAGGAGAAGCAACATGAGATACAATGTCCCATTGTGGAGAGATAGCATACATGTGAGACCTTGAGGAAGCAACGGGGACATGTACAACAGTTCAACAGTAAACAGCGTTCTAGGCACATAACAAAACATAGGCAGACAACACAGACACCAAAGTCATGTGGATGTTTGAAGACCGTAGGCTATATGCAGGGAAATAGTAGGTGACAAGCCAAAATGGAGGCCTTGAGTGTCATGCCAAGACTGGTATTTTCCTCTGTGCACTGGAGAGGGACATGGAGATTTATATACATATAGTCAGACATGTACCCTGAGAGGGGTGGGAGCAAATGAGGAAGGACCATGAATTAGAAGACGCTGGGCAAGAGAGCATGGTAATCGGAACTAGGTTCCTTAGTTGACTGCAAGTGAGAGGGGCTAAAGTTGACAGAGAGAAGAGGATCATCTAAGGCTGAGAGGCCGGCCTCCCAGAGCAGGCCGATATTGGAACTCTCTCCCAGTCTGCCTCTTGTCTGACCATGTGACCCCAGAAGATGGTTCACTTGGGAAAGTAGGCTCATCATTTCTCACCCTTCACATCTTCCCTCTTTAGCCTCCTCCCGCCTGCAGCTCTTGGCAGAGTTTCCGGGTTACCTTCCTGTTGAAAGTTCTAGCCAAGAGTCAAGAAGGTCCCTATTCACTGAGCTGGAGAATGGGTCACTTGGCAAAAGCAGGGCTTTTCCCATTTCCGGCC